CGGAAAACCAAAAACAGATCAAACAATTCCTAGGGCTGTCTGGATATTATAGGAGATTTATTAAGGATTATTCCAAAATAGTGAAACCCATGACAAAATTTCTAAAAAAGGATCAAACAGTAGACATTCACGATGAGAGCTATAAGACAGCTTTTTCAAAATTAAAACAAATCATAGCATCCGACCAAATCCTTGCATACCCCGACTTTAACCTCCCTTTTATCCTCACGACTGACGCAAGTAATTACGCAATAGGCGCTGTTCTCTCACAAATACAGGACAAAATCGAGAGACCTATAGCTTTCGGCAGTAGGACTCTAACCAAATGTGAATCAAACTACAGTACAATAGAAAAAGAAGCTTTGGCAATTATGTGGGGTATTGATAAATTTAAACCATATCCATACGGTAATAAGTTTACACTATTTACCGACCACAAACCGTTACAATACATAAAAAATTGCAACAAAAACCAAAAAATTTTAAACTGGAGAACGGAACTCGAAAATTACGATTATACAATAATTTATAAAGAGGGAAAAACAAACGTGGTCGCTGATGCACTCAGCAGGAAAACTGAAAAAAGGAAACACACTGTGAAGTCAATTTGCATAATAATGATTCTACCATTTCAGAGAATGATTCAAGCACACAGGAAAGCGAAACGGAAAATGTGGGAATTGAGGCACCGAGTAACGAGCATGAGGCACCGCACGAGGAAAACGAGGCATCAAACCAGGAAAATGAAGTACCAAATGAGGAAATTCAGGATAACGAATCAGATAGTGACACAATCCATTCGGCGAATTCATCGGACGACTACTACATACACTGTGTAGAACGACCCATTAATTATTATAGGAATCAAATTATTTTCAGGAAGTCCCGGATAAACGCAGACCTTTCGGAAAATCCATTTACAAATTTTCGAAGGACTATAATTTGTAGGAATGAATTTGACGCAGACGTTATAACTGACGCACTGAAAAAATACCACGACAACAAACAGACAGCGATAATGGCCCCAGAGGAAATTATTCCGATTATACAAGAAATATACAAAACTCATTTTAATCAAAGAGGACATTTTGTGTTGACTCAGCTACAAGTAGAAGAAGAAGCAAATGAGGAAAGACAAGATGTTCTAGTAAACAAAGAACACAATAGAGCGCATCGTGGGGCTACTGAAGTAGAAAGCCAGTTAAACCGAAGCTACTTCTTCCCTAAGATGGCAGCAAAAATTAGAATGGTTATCCAAACGTGTAAAATGTGCAACATGCATAAATACGAGAGGAAGCCATACAACATCAAACTATCTCCCAGACCAACGACCGACAAACCATTCGACCGTGTTCACATGGACATCTTTCAAATTGATAAACACAATTTTCTATCGCTGGTTGACTCTTTTTCTAAACACGCCCAAATGGTTTGTATGGAAACAAAAAATTTAACTGACGTGAAAAACGCTTTGGCACTGTATTTCAGTAACTATGGGACACCAAGACAGATTATTACAGACCACGAGACAACCTTCATGTCACTACAACTGAAAGGATATTTGGACGCCCTAAACGTTGAATTGGCCTATGCTTCTTGCTCCGAATCAAATGGACAAGTTGAAAAGACACATTCAACGATAATCGAAATTATTAACACTAACAAGTATAAATTTCCAAATCTAGATACTCCTGCCCTAGTTTGTTTGGCAATATCCCTTTACAACACTTCAATACATTCAGCAACCAAGTTCTCTCCTAACGAAATTATTTTCAATCACAACAACATAATAAATCTCAACCAAATTAACGAGAATAGTCAAAAAGTTTACGACAAAGTAAAGATAAATTTAAATAAAGCTAAGGCTAATCAAGAAAAACAGAATAAAAACAAAGAAGACGCACCGCATTTAATGACGGACAAGAGGTATTTGTGATACCTAACATCAGGAAAAAACTAGACCCAAGAGCTAAACCAACAAACGCAAAGGAAGTTACAGACAAGACATTTAAAAACTAATAAGAAAATCAAGCGACATAAAAATAAAATTAAAAGGTTAAGGAAAACGAATAATTAATACTAATGTCAATTTGTTATATGCGACAGTTAGAAGATACTGAGAGGTTAGCACATATCATCGGTAAGAGACGTGCGTGTGAGAAAATTTGCGAAAAAATCTAAGTGCACCGGTGGGATTCGAACCCACAATTCCCATTCAGTACACGGGTGCATTGCCAATTATACAACGGTGGACCTATGGTCTACGGATGTATTTGGCTAATGACATATGAGTTTCGAATCCTTTTCCCTCCCTTAGTCTTTTTGCGCAAGCGTTCTCAATACACAACAATCGTCTATTACCGACGATATGTGCTTGTACCGCAACCACTCAGTATCGGTCGATGTGAACAAACACAACTCGTCTCTGTTCTACATCACACATGTTGGATACGGGATGTCCAATGCAGTATGAATAGAGCAATGAGCAATGAACACTAATGTCAATTTAAATATTTTCTTCTAATTCCAGATGCACTCACTAACGCCAGTTGTAATTTTTAAAGTTTTTATTACACTCACTTATTCTAAATTTATGGAAATTCGTAATTTAATGACTGATCCAGTACTATTACTCAAGACAAATGATTGCAAAATACAGACAGGTTACATTAGAATAATTCATCCAATCAACATTACGAATTTAGAAAACAACGTCTACCTTTTTTCAAAGATAGCTAGGCAAATAGATAGGAAAATTCCAATATCAAATCTAATTTTGCAAAAGAGTAGGGAACTTGTTAGCAACCTGCATCAACTGAAGCCGATGAAGCCCAGGAGGACCAAAAGATGGGATACATTAGGAGTCGCTTGGAAATGGATCGCTGGATCGCCTGACGCCGACGATTTGAAGATCATCAACACTACACTCAACAACCTGATAAACCAAAACAATCAACAAACAAAAGTCAACAATATCATCAACACCAGGATCGACGAGATTATGATAACCGTCAACAGACTCATCGAACAACAATCCACAGAAAACAAAATTCTACTGGAGGAAATGGACGCAATCACACTTCTCCTCTACATGGATACAACAAAACATTTTAGAGGAATTGGAGGATACAATTCTGAGAACCAGGATAGAACTCGCCAACAGTAAATTACTATCACTTAAGGAAATACTTTCAATAGAAACATTACTCAACGAACAAGGGATACAAACTCAGTTCCCTGAGGAAGCTCTCAATTATGCTAAACCCAAAATAGCAACCAGAGGCGACCTATTGCTGTACATCTTGCAAATTCCAAAAGTCAACGGAAATTGCGAGGTTATTCAAATAATACCACTAACGGTACAAAACACCGTTATCACAGATCTCCCTCCATACGTTGTCCGGAGCGGATACGATCTTTTTAGCACTACAAACCCAAGTAGTACAATTCAACAGGACCTTTTCCTAGAACCATTGAAAGATAACTGCTCGGTTCACATCATTTTAGGAAAAGAAAGTCACTGTAACGCAAAGTTCGACCGTAGTACACGAGTCGTACTAATAACAAATAATAAGATTTTAGTAAACAACGCAAGAGGGTCACAAATGAAATCAAATTGTGGACCGCATAATCGCACACTAAAAGGAAACTTCATCATAACCTTCTACAATTGTAGCGTACAGGTAGATGAGCAGACCTTCACATCAGAAGAGCTAATTAGCAACGCAAAAGAACTTCAAGGAGCATTCCCGAGTCTTGCGATAAAGTGGAACATCGCACGACAACATGACATTCCCAGCATCCACGATCAAACAATTCATAATAGGAGACAATTGGAGAACATCAAGTTGAAGCAGTTCGAACACAAGAACCTGTTGCTCGCCGCCTTTGGAGGACTGTCAACGACGATGGTAATTATAATAATTATAACGGTTACTTGTCTTTTTAGAAAGCGAGTAGTTATCAAGATAAGAAGCAGAGAGGACATGCCGTCCGAAAAGGATTAAACAGAAGTCCGAGGACGTCCTTTATTCTACCCCCGGAGGAGTTATGCGCCAGAACCCCAGAATTATGCTGAGTACTAAGGTACAAAGTACTATCCGATATCACGCCACCGACCACACATCCGTTGTCACCAAGCCAGCGTCAGCAGATTTGGAGGAACGAGCACCACGCTGGACGTTTTTGCAGAACAAGCAGGTTTAGGTTTTAAATAGGCTTTGATAAGTAATCAATAGCACAGTCTTATTTTGATTTTGAGTTAGTTAACAGCTAGTGAGTGTTTAATTATCGAGTTTAAGGTTAACAAGAGACAGTGAGTGCATGTAGTGTTAAAGTAAAGGAAAATAAATTTATTTTTTTATAATTAATCGAGTGTAACTCTCATATTTATATATATATATATGAAGATTTGCATAGTTTAATATGCTCAACGTCAAAATCAGACACAAAGTGAACATTTTATACAAAAGATGAGGAGATGAAAATTAAGAATTGATATTTCCGTTAGAGTATGGCAGTGTGAAAATTGTATTTAGAGAGTAGAAAGCGAGCCATGGTCAATCTTAGGAAGGCACGAATCTGGTTAATCATCTCCTATCAAGTACTATATAAAAAATTGAACTGAATACCAAGTAACCAAAGTACTTCATACTATATTGAGAAAAAAAACAAAACATACATTGTGCGGACAGCCAACCCCAGGCAAATCAAGCCTCCCTGACGACCCCCAGTAATACCGCCAATGGCAGGCATGGAATTCAAACCCTTGAGAAAGCCAATCACCACCCTTGTTAGTGCTTCAGGTTCAGTATGCCAGTAGCAATCAGCAGTAGTGCAAAAGTCAGTTGATAGGATTTATCTCTCTGCAAAAAGGTGCCCTTGCTTCCCGGAAGGAACCAGTTTCCACTGGGAAATAGCAAATCCCACCGAATGCAAATTTTCCACATCATCGTTATCGTACAGGTGCACTCGCACCCACCTACACTACATGTACTTACAAGTCCTGCAGATCGGCCGCGTACACCGATAGGGCATTTTCCCGTAATCGCTTGATGCCCACCTTCTCCAGGGTTAGTTTGTGCATGGCGGTTAGCTTCTGTGGAACCCGCACTATAGAGCTGCCCTCGCAGCGACAATGTAGTTCATCGAGAAACTCATCGGTCGAGTTCCAGCATTTGCACATCGCTCGCTTCGATTGTGCCATTATTGGTTCATGTATGTGCTGAAAGGTGTTGTTCGCTTCCAGCAATAGGGTATGGTTGCCGTCCTGCGACAACTCCGACTCCATTTCCGGCGAAACCATGTCCATCTCGGTCACTATGTGTGGCACGGAGTCATTCCCGATCAACGGTACGGCTCGTACCAAACACACACACACCCCCAACAGAGCCAGTGCTCGCCAGAGAACCACCACCACCTGCTTTTTCCTCGTGCTTCTACATGCGCTCATTATATTCAACGTTTTTCCAAGGAAATATTTATCCACCAGGCGCTGAGATCGGATCGTTAACGTTCTTCTAAAGAAAACACTAATCTTCACGTTTAAGTTAAGCTTCCACTTTTGATATCAGCCCTCTGAATCGATCGGTCCCAATGGGACTCATCTACGTTATTTCAAACTCAAACGCTTCGCACCGACGGAACAGAACTTCGATTTCACACTTCATTATCTCATCTTCGTGCGGGCGTGGAGGTCAACAAGGGGCAGAGGGTGCAGCATCACCGGGTTCCAAAATGTTTCCGACGAAGTGAAGTTCACTCTGGTAGATTTGTTTAATTCCACTTAAAAACGCCGATAGCAGGCTAATTGAATGTCCTGGCGTTGGTGTTGGCGCTGCTGGTGGGCAATCTGAAACGGGAAGCGAGAAAAGTGGCATTGGAGATTATTAATGCTTTCTGTAGCTATGTTTGAAGGATAACGGACGAGCGTGAATTGAGGGGATGAATGCGAGCAAGGGTGTTAGTTACCTTCAGTGAGTAGCTCATTGCGATCTACGAACACAGTGCTTGTTTGCGACGCGATATTGAAATATCCTTCGGCTGTCGACCCATGTAATATCTCATCAATAATGGCATATCGACAACCGATAAAAATGGCATATGGCTATAGCGACGTTGCGACGCTTCGGCCGGTATGAATTATTACACTCAATGTGCATGCGGTGTATGTACTTTATTGTCCTATTGTCCTAGGCCCTATGAACCTACCTACACACAGTAGGGCAAGATAGGAAAATATGTACATTTGGCACGTAATAGGTACCCAGCGGCTGAATAATAGCTCGGATGGAGCTTGTTAACGCTTAAATGCAATTTATTTCAATTCAATTACCTTGTATAGCATGAACCTACCATTGTCTGTCTAAAATTATATTTAACGAGATTTCTCAGTGTTGGATGCTTTTGCATCCCTGCGAGAGGGAAATATGGTGTGGGAAGGAGACCTACATAACTTTCCGGAAATTAAACTTAATGCCGCTTGTTAAAAAATGTTAATTCAGTTAATGGGGCAGCCTTAATTGACGAAGCATTTTTTTTTTCGATTTCAGGACCTCCTCTCCTACTCCCTGAAATCATACAGTGAAATTTATGTATACGATCTGTCATCATTTGAAAACTTTAAATTTTAGAAAGAGCACAGATGAACCATGTGAAAAATCAACTAAATTGTTATTTAGACCATATTCATATTATGCATGAAGATTTCTGTGTGACTGAACATAAGCATGAGCATGATTGACCGCCCACGGTTGCTACTCTGTTATTGCTAGACCAGCTGTAATTACACAGAGAACCAATAGACAATGCTTGGGACTAGCAATCAGCCTCAATGTGTAAAAAATGGTAATCTCAAACTAGGCAATACCAGCGCAGGCCGCACCCGAACACAGGTCAAGAAAGGAAGAGATAGGAATGTGTTGACGTGACACTCGCTTTGATGGAAGCCGAGAACACCTCTGCACTTCCACGAGGAATCACTGGGATGTTGGGTAAGTGGGTTGGGTTTGCAGCAGGGTTCGTTTTGGTAAACGATTAGCTGAATTGATGTCCTAACGATCATATAACGCGAAGGAGCTTGGGATTGCACCCAAGGTCTTCTGCTCAGTAAGCAAAAACGTTTGCCACTAGGCAAACGGGTTCCTTTTAAATCATCGAGATGCTGTTATTACCATGTACTCATGTTAACAAATAAAACGATTGACGAATCTTGAATGTGGATGGGCTTGAGATTAGACTCATGATGTTCTGCTCAGTAAGCAAAAACGGTTGCTCCAAGGCCACCGAGTCCCTCATATCACATTATTCCGTTACTCAAGTTGTTATAATTATTCAAACCCGACACCGACGACAACGAAAAGTTTTACAAAATACACGATAAACAAGCGATCTTGCCATACATTTTTGAAATTAAAGGACCTGGGACCACGTTTTTCTGCTCAGTAAGCAAGCCACGGCAACCGACGATCTTTCAAATCCAAAAACTAAAAGCTACGAAAGAATACTTAGGCCTTCATTAAGTTCCACTTTCACGCGGCGTTCAATGTTTCGATTTGCTCTTTACGCATTGTTCAGGCAATCATAACAAGCTATGACCGACGTGACGATTGTTTAAGCCCTGCTGTTTAAGCTATTCAAATGGAAATTACGTTCTCGAATTTCACTTGTTGAAATACGATAATTCATATAGAAATACGCGATAATTCATATAGAAATACGCGATAATTCATATAGTTTCAGCGACTGATGGATAATTTTAAATATACTAACTGACAACGGCAAATACGACGGCAATTACGACAGCGACTAAGACGGCAAATACGACGGCTCCTACGACGACGACAACAGCGAATTTGTAGCTTACAATTTGTCTAGTATATAACACCTTTGCCTGGCACCTCCACTGGAGCGTCATGTCTGCTATCTGTCAGAATAGCAATTACCTTTGTTGTAATACTTCCTTCAACGAAAACAAATTTTCTTGCCTTGCCATGGTCATCTGGGAGGAGGTTCGCGTCTAGTGCTTTCCACAGAAACCATTCACGGCCACCAACTATCGCCCGTCCAGTCTTGGGCGTATCCAGCAAGGCATCCTTCAAATTGCTCACAATCTTCGACACTGGCGAGAGACCAGCAGACGATCACTTTTGCAAGCCGTAAACTCGCTGATTCACGGCAACTTCGGCCACCGAATCACCACCAAAACTCGCTACGGACACATTATCAGCACTTTCCCCGACTAATTTACCAACCGGACCGTGTTCAAACTCACACACGGTAAAAGCCGAAAGCGTGACATCCGAACACGGTGAATCAGCCTTCCGGGAGGCAATGAAAATCACAAGCACAGTTACACTCGGTCAGCAATTTTGTGATACGGAATTTCCACTGAAAATCAACCGGGAATGCACGAATTTCACCACACCCAACTGCTTAACACGCTCGAAGGACTTTGGGAACACTTTCGGTATCAATTTCGGTCGAAAACACTAAATTTTTTGCAAAAATAGTTGCGAGCCGAGAGTAAAAATCAAACGACGCAGATAGCGACACCTCTTCTGATGCTTTCAAACATGATAGATCACGTTCTCTTTCTCGATTCTAAAACTTCCCGGAAAGCGAGAAAATCACCAATCACACACGTATAATCGTCCGGGAGGCAGAGTGCCAGCGCTAATGCAGCCGAAAACTATGAAAGCAAACAGAGAGCAAACTTAAAACACAACCGTATCCGAAGGGGTTCGAAACTGCACCCTCATGAAGATTTCTGTTTGACTCCCATATGGAGAAATGTAATGTTCCACACAGCATTCGAATATTCTTTATTCGTTCACGAAAATGAAAGAACCAACGACTGCCAATTTGATGAAAAAGCACGCATATTCAAATATAATAGTGAAGAAACTTTGGCACACTATTTAGTTATTTGCGATCAGTTAAATTGGGGCCGTGAATATGGCATTTGATGAGTATAATTTAAAATTTTATCTTTATACAAAATCTTGTACTAAGAACTTCTTTAATTACGCGAAAACCAAATAAAATCTGACAATTTTCCTTCAAAGATGCTTTTGGACGATAGGGTAGGTGAGAACGTATGCATTACAAAATAATTAACTAATTTCGGATGGCGATGCAAAAAAAAAAAACAACAAAGGTAATTCAATGGAACAAATTTTCCTTAAATCCTACGTTCAAAAATGCTTCGGCGCCCTGCCAGGCGGCCTAACGGCAGTTGGCCGAACTGTTACACACTTAGAAATACCTAATCTTACACGTGACGGAATCCATCATTGGCATAAAGGATGAGGCGTAAACAAACATGTCATGTAAAATTAAGTGCTCCGAGGCTGAAAAGTTCGGAAGTACGTTTGATTGAGCTGAATTTCACGTCTATTATGACTCAATTTTGTGACGCTCGTATATGTCAGTCTCAGAGCACCTAAATTTACATCAATTTTTCTAAGTGTGTAGCTATGGCAGATCAAAAGATGGATGTCATCATGTTCTTCAGCTGTTCCGTGGCCTTGGCTATCAGCGTTTCCTCCGTTTTGGCCACGAAATTATTGGAATAGATCCTCCGTTTGAGGTTCGCCCAAACATTTTCTATCGGTCGCAACTGGGGGACGTTGGGAGGGTTCGCCAACCTTTCACGACGTCGCGGTTCGCCGGAGAGATGTTTTTCACCAGCACCTTCAGCCGCTCCTACTGGGTGATTGCCTGTTGCTCATACACGGCCGGCCTCGACTGACGCTTCCGCTTAACTATGTCTGTCTTGTCCAGATACTTCTTCAACGTTTGGCCAGTTGCTCTGACCTCCCGGCCCAAGGCGCGGAACGATGAGGCCACGTTGCTCTCGGTCTTCCTCTTCAGCTTATGCTGCACTTTACGGTCGCGCAGTGCCATCGGGCGGCGGGAACCCACCTTCCGTTTGAAGCTCTCGCCTTTCCCCAGAAGAGAGAGGATGTTGTAATTGCCGGATCGGCTATATCCAGCGGACACGAAGCACCTCACGATGTCCAACTTCTTCACTCCGGCGCGTGGAGCTGGCAGTACGAACAAACCATCGAGCGTAGTTGCTTGACTGTTTTCGCCATGGCTGCTGCAAATCAACTGATAACGCTGTCAATTTTTGTCTGTACACAACAGGGTTACTATGATTGGCGATGCATAAGGTGGATTCCATTTTTTAATGCATACGTTATATGCAATTTGTTTGCAAATTTGTTCCAAGAAATCTATACAACGTTATCGTGACGATCGTGACCGTGAATATTTTGGATCTTATCCAGAATTTTCAAGTGACATCAACTTATGCTGCAATGTTCAAGATATGTATCTTAAAGGGATTAAAACACTACAAGGGACAGCCCTATGGGGTTGTACGCAATGGTGACGTAGGACTACGTGGTCTTATATAATAAATGTTATATGTTAACTGCAGCAGTGCTTTGTGTAGGAATATGAATTTGAGCGGGGCACTCTCTGATTATATTTTTTAGTATGACTATGATTGGCCTGAAAAAAACCTTTTGATATGAATTTTAGTTGGGACATGTTCAGAAATTTAGCTCATTTGGAAAATCTTGGTGACCCTGAAAAAGGCCGATGGTCATACAGGCTTAAAGCTATTGGAAGATGATGATGACGTGTAGACAGCTGGATCAGCAAATCGGACCGGACAATCCCATATTCTTCGGTTCAATGATTGGGCACTCGCAAGA